CTCTATCGACAGAGAGAGAGAGAGAGAGAGAGAGAGAGAGAGAGAGAGAGAGAGAGAGAGAGAGAGAGAATGACTGCAAATATTTTAATTTAAAAAACGTTTTGCTAAACGTCTTTAATAAATCATGTTTCTATCAAACGATCAGTACTAAATATTCAAGTATCATATAAACACAGTTGACTTAATAAAGATAAAAAGCAGAGAACGTCCACAATTAATCGAAAAATTTGGCTAGTACATGTGATAATAATGATACAAGACTGTGCTATTAACAGTTTATTAAAGTTTCTGCTATTATATTTACCGTTTTAGCGATCGCGAAAGTCTTGTGATCTATTACTGCAGGATTCGTATTGGGCATTGCAAAAATTATTGTTATGCCTCCGGCCAACGCTGCCGCGGTGCAAGAGGCGAAGTCTTCTTTGTGAATCTCCCCAGGATCACGGGTATGTACATGTACATCGATAAGGCCGGGTAATCTGATCATTTTTCGCGATGACATACAATCGGTGTGCGTTTTCATACGTGGTGCTTTTCCGCCAACTATTCTTAACGCCTATATATGGAAGAAACGAGTCAATTATACTATCTGATAAACACACTTTAAACTTTTTTTCCAGGTCAAGACAAAGTGATTTTTACAGATTTTTTTATATCGTTGAAAATAAATACATTATTCAAATTGCTCTATTATATTTTTGAGAAAATTGAATATAAAGATGACATTTTTGGTACTCTTAAGCTAAAGTATTTGGAAAATTTAATGTGATAGAGAGCAATTTTATTTACGGATTTGTTTCCAGTAACAAAAAATGTATAAAAATTACCTGCCTGTGATTTCTAAAAATTTCCTTTTAAATTTTAATTAAAATTGACTGCTTCCAAATCTTCAATACAAGAAGTAACAGTTACTATACAATGAAGAGAAGAAAATCTAAATTTGTAGATAACAAATTATTTTCATTTGCAGCATCCGCTTTTGTTTCTATCAAATTTTTTAAAGTTTTTTGTTTTTTTTACTACAAATGACGGAAAAATAATATAGTCCACTACTTATACACACACACGCACGCACATACATTATATATATATACCTATGTTAAGTAGTCACTGTATTATTTTAATATACATACATATATATATATATATATTTCTTCCGTAGAATTCAATAATGTTATTAATCTTTATTCAAACGAAATCTTTATTACTTTTATATTTAATAATTTTGATTTTAAACTTATAATCAGTGATCCCACAAATCATTAAAAAAAAATGAAAGTGATTATTTAAATTGCATATGTGGTTTTCAAAGAATTTCCTATATATTTATCTATGGATTTAAAATTTCTTTTCATATTGTAATTGTTGCTCCTTGCATGAAGCAATCAATACAATAGGTGAGTTTTAGATTTTTTTACTAAAAAAACGAATCCCTAAATGAAATTGCTGTGTCATGTCACGTTTTCGAGATGCTTTAGCTAAAGATATCCACAAATGTCATTTTCAGCACTTCTAAGTTCAATTTTTACAATATGAGTAATAATAAGGACAATGAACCAAATACTGAACAATTTTTCAAATTAAGTATAATATAAAATTTAAACTTTAATACAAACGTTTCGACTCCGATCGGGTCATCTTCAGTGTAACAAACATAAATAAATTAAAAAAAATTTCGGTGTCGCTAATCAATAGATAACTGTCTTTTAATACTTGTTTAACATGCTATTTGAGATTCTTATGACAAATTATATAAATTTTATTAGATTGAATTTAATGTATTGGATTAACTTTTACATGATGGATTACAATTTCAAGATGCGAATAATTTCCTGACATTATCTATTGATTAGCGACACCGAAATTTTATAATTTATTTATGTTTGTTACACTGAAGATGACCCGATCGGAGTCGAAACGTCTGTATTAAAGTTTAAATTTTATATTATACTTAATTTGAAAAATTGTTCAGTATTTGGCTCATTGCCCTTATTATTACTCATATTGTTTTATACTTATTGGGCCTTATTTTATATTATTTATCAATTTTTATAGGTGTACTTGTATAAAGTTATTTAGAAAAATGTAATTTAATCAGCAAACGTTAAAAAAATTATTAATAAATCAAATTATTTTTGAATTATTTGAACTTTTTATACAATTTTTAAATAAAAAATTTTGTTTACTTTTTTAAATAAATTTGTATTGTTGTTTATTTTAATTGTATATAAATATTAATCATTTCTATTACTGTAAAAATATTTTTGTTTAAAATAAATTTTGATTTTTGATTATATTTTTTTGTTATGTAAAAATGTATTGTTTTTTTTATGAAAATTAAAATTCTTAATATTGTCTTAAAATATGTAAGTCCTGAACTTTGTATCTAATATGCCTTATCAACAATGTGAACAAAATTTTATGAGTAAGAGTGAGTAATATTATAATCTTGTTCATTAAAAACAATCTTTGATCACTGATGTGGGAGTGATATAAAATAGTATCAAATTAGAAGGTAATGTCACCTAAGCTTATTCTGATCGTACCATTTAATCAAATTATATCTTTAAATAAAATTTATTTTCATATCAAGTTTATTTATTAAATATGTTTACAGAATCAAAAATTTGAATACTCACTTCAACCAGGAGCTTCGCGCATTTAACGTCTGTAATCAAAGGTACAGAATAATCAGCAGCTAATCTTCTCGTTCGATAACCGTGCGTCATAAAATTTGAAACACGCCGGGCTCCACCGTTTCTCATTGGTAGATTTATTACGAGATCGAATTGTTTTTTCGATAAAAAATCGGCGAGATGCCGAAGTTGGCTCGGACTAGAATCCTCGTTCACGGCAATGTTCTCGAATGTCCATAATACTGGTTCCACCTACATTAAAAAAATGTATTACATAACATAAAATTGTAACTATCTACAATTATAAATGTTTAAAATATATGATGGAAAGGATAATATCTGAGGAAAAGACACATTAACTACAGAAGTGATCTCGCTATGGAAACGACATGCACAGAAAACATATAATTGAAACTAAGATTAAAAATCTAGAAAAATAGATTGTTTAAAATTACATTTTATTAAAATACAAATAAGGGTAAAGATTACGTGCAACAGTAAGTGTCAAATCTTTTAAGAAATAGCGCTGCAATATGTTATTATTATTAAATAAAAATGTTAAAGAGAAATTTACGTTTTATAAAATTAACATCGAAATTTATTATAGACTAGGTTTCTCTTCTATATTACATTATTTTTAACAGGAATTGTCATATTTTATTATACAATTATATTAAGTACATAATATAAATGTTTTTCATGTTTTATTATTAAATTTAAAGATATTTAATTTTGTGTGCATTGTCTTTTTGGGAATTATTGCATTTTATTCATCGAAAAGTATATTATACATATCTATATTAATATCATACAAACACGTACATACACAGACATGACATATGCGTGCGAGTGTGTATACACACGACACACGAAAATGTATGTTTATAAATTATTTAATTGATACATAAAGTCAACGGCACACGATGTTCTTTTCCTGCTGGGTTGCATTCCAAAATTCGACTTTGTTTCAACCCGAGTATTTTATTCTTGTTATTCATCGAATATTGAATAAGAAGATAAAAGATATTTGGAGTTGACAGAATCAGGTTTAAATACACTCTTGGATTGCTAGCTGTATTTGCGTACTTATTACGTATTAGCTACCGTGCTGTTACTGTTAGCATTGTAATGCCAATCAATACGATAGCAAGTACGCAAATCCAGCTAGCAATCCAACAGGAAAAAAAGGCATTATAGTTCGCCTTAACATTCCAAAAATGAACGTTTATCATCTTGATAATCGTCACTTATCACTAAAATTTTATTTGCATATTTAATCGTTCAACGTTGTATGATTTAATATCTCAGCGATGTGTAAGCACAGTCTATTTTAATGTATTAGGTGTTGAACTTAATTCCTGCCTTCGTTTTGTCGTTTCCAAAATTGATTTGTTTTGAAGGGAAGAGATGAACGAGTACCTTAATCAAAGTAATTTTCTTCTCATTTTCTATTACATTTTCCTATCTCTTCGGCAACAGGACAATCCTACGACGATAGAACGCGGTGTCTTTCGAGGCGATCCATTCATCCACCCATTTTTAGACTTCTTTGTAACTGGAGAAATGTGTGTCTGTCAGTGCGTGTTGCATCGATCGGAAGAGATGGTAATCCGACCGTGCCAAGTCTGAGGAGTATGCTGGATGCGGGAGGATTTCCTATTCAAGTTGTAAAAGTGTTTACTTCACGCTTTTCGCAACATGCGATCGTTATCATGCAACAAAATGATTTTGCGTCAATTGTTGGCTACGGATGATCTTTTTTGCGGATGATCAATTCGTCACTCAATCGGCATAATTGCTGTTGGTAGCAGTCAGCTGTATCGGTTTCATTTAGGCGCAAGAGTTCGTAATACAGCACACCCTCCTTCGACAACTCTAAAAGCGTTTGAGCTGGAATCTCATCAAGTAATTCTTGCAGCTCGACATCTTCAATTTTTCGGCTGTTCTGGACGTTCTTCGTCTCTCAAATAAAAATCACCGTTTCAGAAGCGTTCAATCCATACTCTACATGTTTTTTCCGATGGAGTTTCATCACCATACACTTCGGATAATAAGCGATGCGCTCAGCTGCGATTTTCTTGAAGTTCAAGTAGTGAAGAAGCACATGTTTGAAAAACAGCTTATCGCGATTCATTTTCAATCGATTGGAAAACCTCTTTGGCGTCGAGAAATCTAACCTGTGAGGATTGAATCACTTTCAGCAATGTCTAAACTACAAAAGACATACGACTTCATCATCAAAACTCGCCAGCGTTGGAGCCAGCACTCTGCGAGCTGCAGGAATTAAGTTCAACACCTATATAACAGAATTGAACATTGTTCCTTACAAAACAGAAATTTAATATTGTTTTAGACTCTTGTACTTTTGCATTAATTTTTTATTTGTGATACTAGATTATTTGTGATAATAGATTTAATTATAGGGGAGAATGTCTTAAATCGGACCTTTTAAATTTAAATAAATACGGTTAAGTAGATTTGCGTGCTATTTATATAATATAAAGTCCTTATAAGATACCAAACATGTGACAGTAGTTTGACAGTACTTTGTCATGACGTTCACAGAATAGACGCAAATATGTATTTTCGGCTATCATAAGAAAATTTTTTTAAAAAAGAAGATCCTTGTAAATCCTTATTTAAAAGATGTTAAAAATTTGAACGATAATTGATTTAAGAAATAACTAAAGAGTGTAGAATTCAAAAATATCAAAAGTTTTGTGATTACTTTTGCGGTTTATTGTAAAATTTGTTCCAATAGTTCGAAAAAACCCGTGTCCAAATCAGACCTTTCTTTAGGTATCCAAATTGGACCTATACAAAAAACACTAAAAAGATAAGTAAGCCAGATAAACTCATCGAAGAAAGATTTGCCACAACTTGGTTGTAGTACTGGTGATCGATCAACCAGATCTGGTCTAAAGAACACTAAATTAATAAAATATCATGTATCATCAGACTCAGACTTAATGAAATTTTTTATTGATTTTAATTCTAATAATATAAACTGTATTTTTATCTTTGAGTCTTAAATTGCTCGTTCTTATTCAATACTAACAAAAATTAATTGAAATATTTTAAAATTCTATCTAAAAATTGGAAAGGTTCGATTTGGAACCCATAGTTCCAAATCAGACCAGAAAATGCATTTTTACAGTTTCCATTATGGTTCGACACAGATAAGAGATATAGCAAGTCAAAATGGTCTGAATTTAGTCAAAAAATGATCGGACTTTATTTACCTTACAGAGAACAAAAACTGCAAATAATCCGATTTAGATCATTCTCCCCTACATATACATAAAATATTTAAACATTTTTATGAATATAGAATAATATTCAAAATACTGTCGTCCTAATTTTTCGTACTAACAATTCAAGATTATGCAAATGTATTTGGATATTTTATAAAGAAATTTAAAAAAATTCAGATTTTATTGATTTCCGCGCCACTGTACATTGCTATCGTCGAAATAGATATCGATTGGTGGAGATTACATTTAATCATTGGTTTATGATAATATTCTAAATGAGACCTAGAAACGTTATGATCGATATCTTTCTTCATCTTTCAGAAAAACAAATATGCTGTCTGTTTTTAGGGCGAGCGAATATATTCATCAAGAACAATATCAATCTTTAATCGCGCATCATACAATGCGCCGAAATCAATCTACAATTTGTCGAATTGTCTCGGTTTCACGCGCAGATTAGATAACGGTGGAAGTTTTTATTTGCGATATTGCCGTCATTTATTCACGATATACATATGACGTCAGTAGATGAATTAAACGTTACCATGCACAAAACTGTGATCTTATACGAAACGATACCACAAAATTCGCTTGCGTTTCAAGAGAAGATTACGGATAGAGTCACCATGACTTTATACAATTATTGTTTGAAATTTCAACGGTCCTACAAATATTGTAACTTTATACAATAATTCGTGAGATTATCTTAACAATAATTTTATTATGAATTATGATGATGTTAATAAGAAGTTTCTTTTATCTAATTATTGCGATAGGCATAATTATTGCTATTGAGGCAATATTTTCTGCAATCTCTCACACGCGTATATATTGGGTAATGGTACAAGAAAAACTGATTACGATCGGAAAGGGAAGATTACATCGAGTAATCTACAATGTTACCATAACTTTTATCATTATACCAATAACTTCCTTTTTTCGTAATAATTGCTTACTTACTATTTGCAGTATACAAAACATATTTTAGCTCTGTTTATTAATAGTTTGTTAATATTTTGTATTACATTTAATTATATTATACATGTCACATTAATTACAGATTAAATATTAAAAATAAAAAAATTGTATTTATTTAATTAAAACGTACGCTTTATTAATAGGTTAGTAGATATTATTGATAAGACGTGGCATTACTGATAAAAGTTATTTGTTTAAACAAGGATTAATATATAGATGTGATAATTAGATCCAGAACTATTAAGAAAAAAGAAAACATTGAAAGGATATGCGGAAAAAATAATAAAGGTTGTTCTAAATATAGTGCTTTAATGGCTGATTACAATTGCATCTATAATTGTACATATATGATCCATCCTATGATAAGTGATATGAAATTGAATGTTGGCAAATTGAGTAGAATATCGGAGCTTATCTTACCCAATGCCAGCGCAATCTTCATAAGTATTTTACATCGGGCCTGTTTTTCGATGCCCAATAGTAAACGACTGATTAAAATCGCCTGTGCTCGATAACGTGATAGCTATTTATCGATTCTGACACCCCGCGAGAGGACTACTGCTTCATCAGTCATTAACGTGTCCTCACGCGCGTACGCACAATGCTGCGTTTCCGTTTGCGCTGACCTTGAAACTAGCATGAAGGAGTGTATCGGTGATCTACAGTAAATTATATCGCGAAGTGACCTACAGTGCACCGCGACCGATCCTGAGGACGCACGTCCTACGTGGGGACACTCCACGTGGCCATCTCTCCTTCGTGTGTGTATACTTTGTTATGTCATTAGGCGAAAAGGGACAATGGGAATCGTGCAATCATTGATCCCCTTCAATAAGATCGATTCCCAATTAGGAAATAGAAATAACAACGGATCCCAGCCAAAGAATGCAGCCAAAGTGGACGAGTATGAGGATGTGGAATTGATACAAATGAAGATGGCCATCATGAATGATCCTAACAGTTTCATTCTAAACAATCTCATGATGTGTATCCAGTTCTTCGAGAATTACGAGGAGTAAG